CCAAAAGATTTAGCTCATATGATCAAATTTCCGTATGATATGTTAGTCAATGTTGTTGTTGTTTTTTCTAAATGTGAAAAACAAAATTTAGATAATTAGATTGTTTGTTGGGAGAATAATCACAAGAAGCGAATAACGGAAATCGAAAAATTATCAGTCGTAAGCAGGATCACATATCCTTTACATTACTCATAGTTTATTCGAATAACAGCGATTGAATGTTCAAAAATCTAACGAAAGAATAAGGTTATTTTTCTACACTTATGTTAGTAGATGTAGACATCAGTAATCGGATAATTACATCTTATCTATTCTTACAATCGTACACGGTAATTAATATGATACTGTGAATTTAAAAGAACATATACATAGTCGAGTGACTTTAGATCCCATCCACTTCATACACACACACACACCACACACACACACACACACACACACACACACACACACACACACACACACACACACACACACACACACACACACACACACACACACACACACACACACACACACATAATATATATATATATATATATATATATATATATATATATATATATATATATATATATATATATATATATATATATATATATATATATTGTCTCTTGCGTGTCAGTATTTTTTTCTCGAAAATGAATTGGAAAATTCAACATTAACTGGAAATTCCTAATTCTTTATATGCGTTAAGAAAATGTAACAACCGCTATGATATGCCTCATAAATTCCTTGTCAGACAGATACCGAAATGTCACGGTTCAGGGTGTTTCCATCACTGTTTTCCCTATTTCATTTCATTTTCCAAGAGATATGCTCAGAGAACACCTTATCACTAGGATTGCTGTCACCGTCATCTTCGGCACTATTTTTATCACTCATTACCATCACCATCACGGATCACCAACAGAAGAAGAAGAAGGAAAAGAAAAAAAGAAGAAGAAAAAGAAGAAGAAGAAGAAGGTGAAGAAGAAGAAGAAGAAGAAGAAGAAGAAGAAGGAGAAGGAGAAGAAAAAAAAGGATAAATAAAAAAGTGCATAAATGAAATAAAAACGAAAATTAACATCCGCGACCTCCATGCCGCCCCAGATGCCCGACTCCTGCACAGTTCACGTGTCTTCGCCATCCCCCTCCTGCGTCGCCTGCCGGGAAAGATCTCGCACACTTATTAATCCGGACCAATTATCTCTGTATGCGACCGGCTGTGGACATGGGGGACGCTCATTACGCCTCTTCATAAATACGTCATCACGTCTATAATTGTTTTGGAGATTACAGAGAGGAAACTCTCAGCTGATGAAAGGCTGAGGGACCGGTGCCGGGGACGTGGGAAAACAGCTCGTATGACGTTGGTTCTAACCCCTATTTAGGACGGAGCGATCAAAAAGCTGATTATTAAACTACGCTCGTCGGATGGTGTGTTTTCGCGCATGCGTGCCTGCCTACTTGGCGACCTTTCTCGTTCCGTCTAACTCTGTTAGGAGAGAGAGAGAGAAGGAATACGATATGAATTTGACGCTTAATTTCCCCTGGGTGTTTTTTTTTTTTTCTTTCTTTCTTTCTTTCTTTCTCTCCCTCTTTCTCTCTCTCTTTCTTTGTCTTTATCTCTGTCTCTGCCCCCCCTCTCTCTCTCTCTTTCTCTCACTCTCTCTCTCTCTCTCTCTCTCTCTCTCTCTCTCTCTCTCTCTCTCTCTCTCTCTCTCTCTCTCTCTCTCTTTCCGCCTCTAACATTTCTTTTTGACGTCATAAGCCCAGTAATAACAGAAGATTGAACTCTGTTACGAAGCCACACATCCATCCTTTATTAAGGATGGCTTTGTGTATTGTGTATTTAAACCTGTCATGCTCAGATTGTAAACATCACATGTAGGTCATCTCGGTAGAAGGTTAAGTTAGAAAGAAATATTAACAATTATACCATAATCGGTTTGTTCTCTCCGATATTACTTTGTAGGATACCACACTTGTGCAGTGTTATATCATATGGGTTCAGTAATTTCGTACTATAGAAAAAAGACCTTTTGGGACATATTATCTCTAATGACGATTTTTTTTTTCAGTCATAACCCTGTACTATTAAATGAAGTACGTGTGAAAGTCAATGACACTTCTTTCATAATTAATTGAATTACTAATATCAATAGACATTTTAATGGCCTGATAATTAATAGCCTATCTCATAACCCCCCCCCCCTCTCTCTCTCTCTCTCTCTCTCTCTCTCTCTCTCTCTCTCTCTCTCTCTCTCTCTCTCTCTCTCTCTCTCTCTCTCTCTCTCTCTCTCTCTCTCTTCCTCCCCTCCCTACTACTTGGAAACGGGCGGGTCCAGAGAATTTTCTGGTGGGGGCCACAGGAGGTAACAACAATAAATCTGGTGGGCCGCCCAAAAGTAACAAAAATAATACCCACTTCAATTTCTATATTGTACAGTAACACATTGTTTATGTTTTCATCTTGCTGTGTATTATATATTATTATATATTAATATTCTAAATTCATATTCATTATATATTGTATATTAATATATAAAGGGTTAATGACTATTGAGGTGAGGGGGCACAGAGCGTGGCCAATCAGATTGCAGGAGGGGCGGGTGCCCCCCCCCCTGTGCCACCATGGAAGCCCCGCCACTGCTTGGAAACAAGCAACCACCATTTACATTCCAAGACCAGGACGGCCTGATGTATATAGACCAATTTCTCTGACCTTCTATCTTTCTAACACATGTGAAAGAATTCTCCTTACACGTTTACTCCACCAGATAAAAGATTTGATCCATCTGTTTTGGGTTTCCAGAAAGGGAAAGGAACGCAAATGTGTTTATCACAGTACTTAACTGGCTGTAATGCATTCTTATTATTTCACTGATTTCAAAAGAACATTTGATAGAGCTTCCCCTACTGCAATCCTCCATGAATTAACACTTTTAAAAGTTAAAGGCAAACTTCTGCTATGGATAAAGGATTATCTATCTATAAGAAGAACAAAAGTGTGGTACCAAGGCGCCTCCAGTGTTTATGGCGAATTAGAATTAGGCACTCCACGAGGGGGAGTATTGTCTCCTACACTGTTTAAAATACTTATGCACTCTACTTGCAAGCTTAACACTGAGTTAAGAAACTTTTGTAGCATTACATCCTTTGATGATGACATTCATATGTTCTAAAGAGGTTCAGCCCCACCCCCAAAAAGAATAAATAATAATAATAATAATAATGTGCTTCTCTTGGTCGCATAATCAACCAAATCAAAACTAAGCATATTTCCATACCTCGCAAACTACCTTACAAAGTTAGGTAGGCAAACTATTGCACGAACCGTGACACCTATATATATCTTGGTGTTGTGGTGATTGCTCTCCACCTAAAGTTGTCGTGCCATTTAACATAAGTTTAAATACATAATCAACAGATGTATAGGTGCTTCCCTAATAGTCCTAAGGTTTATGTATATCTCCTTTGTAAGGTCCACGATAGACTACGCAAGCCCGATTCTTAGTATGTTGCCCCCGAGTGCCCTCAAACCCCATGAGAATTATGCTTGGATGCCCAGTGACTGCTAAGGTTCTTGTCATGAGGAAAGACCTAGACCTCCCCTCTATTCACAGTCGTGCCACCCAAGTTAACGCCATACTTGGCATCAGACTCCTGCAGCTTCATCCCAGACCACAAATCTCCACAATTTTATCAAATGGGATGGATTATAGAGATAGGCATGCCCGGTCTCGATACTCCAATCTTAGAGTCTAACTTAAAATGGAAAACCATAACTGCCCATACTATTCTATTCTTCAATATATGGAACACTGAAGCTATTATTTCAGAAACAATACTCACTGCCCCTTGGCATAGAACTCATGTATATTTTCATGTTGACAAATTAACAGGGCTTAAAATCCATGACCTCAAGAGCAGAACTAAAAGTTCTTTACGTGAAATGTATAGATGATATTCTCCGTCCCCCTCATGGTACTCCCCCACGTGCAATCTCCTGTGACGCCTCCACTGATCCTCATGGAGCAGCAGGGATTAGTGGACTAATTCCTGATATAGATCTTGATTAAAAAGTGTGCATTTCCAATTGGGCAAGCACAACTGATGCTGAGTCAGTTGCCATACACCATGACATTAAATAAGGTAGTGAACAGCAGCGACATCTGTCTGTCTTTACTGACAGCCGGGGTGCACTCCATAGTGCACTGCATGTAATCCTAAAAATCATAGTAACTATCAATATCCTTCACCAAATTTCTAGACTATCAGACCAGGGTATCCAAGTGTCACTATACTGGATACCCTCTCATAAAGGAATGTCATGTTGTGACAGGGCTGATTAATTAGCCAAATTAGTACTTTTCCATGAAGAACTATATTATGCAATACCCCTATCTCTCAATCAAATGAAAAATCGTGTTATCAGCTGTCTTCGAGATTACGAGGGTCAAGTATGGTCCACTGAAAAGATGAAAAAC